TTATAATCCACAGTTTGATACCAAACTTACTGACATAAATTCATGAAATAGTAGTTTAATAAAATTTTTAATGCGAGTCAACAAACACGATGACATGGCCTTTCACCCATGAACTGTCTGGAAAGGGTTAAGTTACAAGTTTGGCAGTAAAAAACAACTGGTTTGTGAAATTTACATGGGATACCCTTCACTGCAGAGTCAAGTCTCAATAAAGAGTATATACTGTATCAACCAGTCTTTTTAACCAAGTAGAGCATATAATGAGCATAAAAAAATTTATAAAAAAGAAATGCTGTAGCTGTGATTCCAAAGCAAGATGCACCCACTGATAAAACTTAATTAGAATTCTCAAATGTCTTAAAAAACTAGATAAAGTACAGGTGTGATTTCAACTCTTGCAAAACCTCTCTATTTCCATAATGAGTGTGTTCACTGACAGGAATGGAGAAAGAAATATTCAAATGTCTAATTGATAACTGAGATGAAGACAGTATTCCAACATTTTAAAAATCCTGATTATACATAACACAAAGGCAGCAAATTAAAGAGGTAAGCTTGAAAGGAAGAAAAATCAAATACCTACAAAAATTCTGGGAGTGATGATGAATTTCCTTTACAATCATTTAAGGAAAAACCCTGCAAGAGTTCTCCACCTTCACTAACTGACCATAAAAGTCTATCAGAGCAGTAATTCAAAGATTAATAAACTCAAATTATCACATAATGACTCCAATTATCAAGGAACAATTTACTTATTTTAAAATGGTAATCCAATGAGAAGGTAAAGTCAAGAAGACAACAGAGGAAACTACCTGTCTTACGAAACCATAACCTCTAATTCTAAATAAAAACACTAAAATCTAGTTCCAGGGGCAAGACCTGAACCCCTTTCAGTTTATAAGGAATACATGTAAAAATGTGAATGGCTCAAGGCAGCACTTCCAAAACTTTTGTCATCCATGACCCTTCACTTAATAAGTATGGTTTCTTGCATGCCCCCCCCCTCTTTGTTTTAAATCAGTGAAAGAGTGAGTTAAGTGACAATATATAATACATGGATACACATTAAAATGCTATGTGTTGTAGTAATTACTAGTTACATTCATTAATAAAAAAATATATTAAAATGCTTAATTTTGTATTATTGCACTATTGACTGTACCCTAATCAATTGCCCCCAACCTATGGGGCATGCCTGTGTGAAAGCCTGGCTTAAGGAAAAAGTGAGTATTACTTTAGTCTAATTATTAATTAGTTATCGATATTTTTTAAATTATTAGACACTAATTACTAATCCAATTCTATATTTGGCTGCTCTTCTGCTTTCTTCAAGAAAGTTCTAAGAAGAGATATTTCTAATGTAGCTTGGACAGGTTGCAATTCTGAGACTTCCACACAGATAGCTAGTGTGCTATCAACTCATTTGGAGTTTCTCCCATTAGGAAATAAATCAATTAACTTACTTGAATGTTTTCAAGAGGTGTATCAAGGTTTATTGTCTTCTATGCTAGGTTATCTGAGTGTGTTATCATTTAGATAGACGTACAATGTTTCTTTTAAATTGTTTTATGTGTAATTCATACCTCATTATTTTATCATTATTCTAATTTCTTTTAACGTCTTCTTTGCCCGCATCATACATATTATTTTACTACTTTTGTTGATCTTTTTGTTTCTCCAATGGAAGCCACATTCACAACAAATGTTGTAAATGTTATTTCTTGCTCTGCATTAAAGTCTGTAGATGGTTTGGTGTATGCTAACAGTGGTCCTATTTTGTTATAACTTCTGACTACTGTTTTGAATTTATGCTGTTTACATATCTTTTGTATGTTTTCAAATGAAACTTTAACATGCGACTCTGATCATGTTAATTTACCTCTCAAATGATCAAACCTTTTTCTGTGTTCCTGAGAAACTTTGATCTGTCTATATCTCCTGAAGACATCAAGTATAGCCTCCTTGCCATACCTAACTTCAAGATCCACGCAGTGCCCAGAATCAAATCAAGAATCACAGGCCAACCAACTCGATTCATCAAAATAGTTACAGATTCTAAAACTACAGAACAATATCTTCTAACTCACGGCCTATCTTACTACTTCTTCCACTTTACGGCTGAAAGACCAAGAAGACGTCTAATCACAAGACACAGCAACACCATTACCAGATCTTCCAAGCCCACGACACATCAAAATCGACAGTATCCGTGTCCAACAACTACACTCATTCCTGAGACAGAACTGCCTACCACCACCAGTAAAACATCCATGAAAATAAACACTAGCACTCAACCAACCAACCTCTAGATAACTTCACGGCAGACACAAACCATGTTACCTCCATCAACCAAGTGTGACGCCTCTACTTCTACGAACAGCCTCTTTCTTATACACCAAGAAACACAGACCAGGACTGACAAAAAGGACCAAGGAATACAGAATTTTGTATCAAGTATTCTGGGTATCCTGTGTCAAATAGGATTGTAGTGACTGTATTTTTTTCCTACTTCTTAGAATCTTGTTCATTCATGAAACTAGGTAGTCTGTGATGCCTGTGTTTACACTATTGAGATGATTCAATTTATAGTCGAGGAATTTATCCATATCTTCAGGTTCCTTTAAAAACCGTGATATATGATTTATATGCCTTTTTAACCATTATGCCTATGAATGGAAGTTTGTTTTCTTCTATTTTCATTGTAAATTGTATTATGGAATGTCTTCTCTTTAAGTAGTTAATGAGTTCTTGAATATTGTCTGTAAGGGTAGCCATATTACAAATATAACATCAATATTTCTGAGCCAAATCATTGGGCTTACAGTGACTATTTTGAAAACATTATCTTCAAAATATTCTATGTACAGGATACTGAGTACTGGTCATAGGTCTTCTTGTTGAGGTAGTATTTATTTTTATTTTGGAAGCTACTTGTGTTTATACAGAAAGTTGTGAGTTCAACTACTGTAAACAGTTAATTGTGCACGTTCCTCGAGAGTTCTACCATTTTCATGCTGTTTGTGAAACATCTGCAGTGTTTCAATGGTCTATATATATTAATGAATGGGTTGGACATTTCAAAACTGACCAGTGTGTCTTGTGAAGTTATCATGCTTCTTTTCATAATCTTCACAAAGTGGGTTGAGTTCTATTGATATTTTACCTGCTAATGGTGATACTCTAGCTAAGATATGCTTTATGAATACGTACGGTTAATTAGGAGCTTGCAAGGTAAGCCATGCCTGTGAATTACTTTAGAATTTTGACAAAAAAATTTTAGTTTTGGTTCCAGTACGTAATAATATGTAAACAGCCTCCATAGTCTAGGAGTTCCACATAAGAAATTAAGCAATACCAGTTGAACAAAGAAAATGAAAGGTATCTAGTACCTTAGAAGCATAACCTAAATGCACAGGAAGACCTAAAAGATCAAATTTTGAGATTAAATGTCCACTAAGGTTATTTAATTAAAGAACCGAATGTGATATGAGGTGAGTGCATTTCCTACCATTCTATTCATTATTTTGAGGATTTAAATCTCAAAACACTTGAGCCTTCTTTAAAACAACCAACTCCAACCAAACATATAGAATAAGAATTCTATGCAAAAGTAGAAAAACCTACTTGAATATCTTCAAAAATACTAACAAAATATATCCACCGTATATCAAGAGCCTCAAACAGACAGTTTGATTCACCTATCTGATCTCAACATGGAGTGTCCCCACTTTTCTTATGTAGGGAACAGATTCATCATCCAAAGAAAATAAAAACCCATATAAAATTATTAATAAACTTGAAACAAAACTAAGAGAAAAACAGACTTGGGTGTACTCAAGAAGAGATACTTACAAATCTAACTAGATGAAAAATCCATCAAAGATTCAGGGTATAACATAATAAAGGCAAGCTGGCCATACAAGATATTGGATCAATACAGAGTGGATGTTAAATAAAGGTAGTGAAATCAATACGAAAAGTAATAATTGTTCAAGCAAATACAAAGAAATGAAGAATAAATTACTAGGTAAAAAAAAAAAAAATCTCACAAGACTGAGATTTGTATAAGATTTCAAATTGCAAATGATAAAGTGTGGTGCATATAGAAAAAAATAACATTATTAATTACAAGTAGTAGTAAAGTAGAGGTATCATATTTTAAACCAGTGCACTATTAACATGATTTTCTCTGTGAATTTATATTCTATCAATTTTTATTATATTTTTAACAGCTGCAAATGACTAAGAAAAATTTCTGAAATTATACAAATAAATAAGGTAAACAGCAAAAACATGTTATTAGAATGTTACAGAGACTCAGTTTGTATTTCATATAAAAACAGTTCATACCTCAACTGGTTTATCATTTGTTTCGGAATCATTACTTGGAAAGTCCATTGGTGAATGATTTAGTCTTTTGAAGATCAGTTCATCCAACCAGAATAAGGAATACTCATCACCATCTAGATCTGAACCTAGAAAGAATTTTCACATACAAATAATAAATCTTTAAAATAGCAATTTGTGAAAAAATAAAAATAAATCATTTTATGTAGAAAAGTACAAATATGAACTAACTTATGATGTATACATAAGTTACACTGCATAACAAAAACATAAAACATTTGTAAAGCTTCAAACTAACAAAAAGGTATTTTGTTTCAAACTAAAAATGATATACACAAGTCATATGGCTTATTTACTTATAAACCGTGTGGTGAAGAAAATATTTTTTATATCTTATATATTTAATTAATTATTACATCCTTTTTTTTATAAATATAAAATAAAATAAAGATTATCTGGTGAAACTGCCAAACACACACAAAAAAAGGACCAGGAAAATACTATATTATTTTTTCATGTGTAGTCTTTCTATTTTTAGAAAAGTAACTGAAGCATAAAAATTAGAAACTTTTTAGGTTAAATATGGTAATATAATGGCAAAAAAATTCTGCAGGAGGTATGCTTATGAGCAGCTCATACACTACATCACTCAATATGGTAAATTAGTTACAAGTTCACCAAGTGATTTACAATTTGTGTGGTCGGATTATTAGTTTGACACTGTCAAAGGTCAATAAAACAATAACATTAAATATACAGAGATGTATACTGTTATGAGCTTTAAGCTATTTGGAAAAACAACTGAAGTTTAATGTTACAACATGCAGTCATTCTAGTAATAAAAAAGGGGAATTAAGATTTATTTCATACTTTTCTATGGCAGTTATGAGGTTTGCCAAATTGAATGAACGAGTATAGATTTACAGGTAGGGATAATAGCAGATAAAATATAAAGTTTTACTGAAAAATTTGTTTGATAGTTATTTAAGAAGTTTTAGAGATTAGGTAAATGAAATTGCACAATTTTCAGAGAAAAGAAAGTATTTTTAATCTTAACATGAAAATAAATTTGCACTTGGAGCAATAAACACTCTTAACTCCATATATTCATCAACATATATGTAGTAAAAATATTTAATTAAGAAATTTGATTTTCTGTGTACAAAAACTTGTATTATTTACTGAAAAGTTTTTTTTTGTCAAATTTTGTGACAATACACAAAACATATTAAAAGTTATAGTTTGGAAGTTCTGATGGTCTCTTTGGGGTCATGTGGTTAGTGTAATCCTCCAAGCCTGTAGTGAGAGGGTTAATAAATTTCTTTCAGGATTACTAATCTGTTGAAGAAAACTCAGAAAACAATATGAATACCTACTGTAGCCATCATATAAACGTTAAACCCTACTTACTTGGCTCAGTCAAAGTGGACACCACAACCTCGTAGAGTTTCATTCAAAATTTAATTAAACTTTATTATCAATGTATTGTAATAAACTTGGCATTATAATATAAACTGTAATTTAATTTTTATGTTATTTAAGTTTTACTTTCTTAACTTTAAAAGAAAATATTTATATAAATTCACAAACTACACTTCTCTATGTCACGTAATGCATCTGCACTAAGAATATTCCTTTACTGATTTTCCTTCTTCCCTATTATGGTCTTCAAAGTGTTAACCAATCAAAAATACAAACTATAGATATTGAAAAACAAGAATCTATAACTTAACCTCCTAACTTCTCGATAAATTTACCAAATATACCACTGAAGCATTTCCTATGTATCATAACTTTCAAGGCATTCATCTAAGCCACATGGTCTTGTATAATGGATATGTTTATCACCTATCTACAACTTTATAAGAGAGCCAGTTAAGTTATAACGATTTTGAAACATTCTAATTTACTGCCTGATATATCTGGATATTTCAAAGAAACATTAATTGTTTTTTTAAAGAAAATTATCCCATGTATAAATAGGCCACAAAGTTAAAGTCAGTCCTATATTTCAGATTTTTTATCTATATGTTTTATTTATTACTATACATCTTTTAACAAAGGTAACTAAAATCTAAAAATTAGAAATTTCTAAGATGGGGTAAAAAAATTAGTTAAAGTTAACATTTTCTAACACTGAAAATGTATTTCCAATAGGTACTTACCCTTACCTCAACTAACCCATAGCTACCTCAACCTTCATTTGCCCTCTAGGTACTGGTAAATTTTTATAAAAGTGCACCAGTCTTTTATACATCTTTATTTTTTGCATCATTGCAGCAACAGGTGCTGATCATATGACCACCCTTCATCAATCCCATTGTGCCCTCTATACTAGCATAGTGTTGCATATCTGCTTGTTTGTTAATTTCCCGTAGAAATTCTTTCCGAGAAACTTCAGCGATACGAGTT